CTGAAAGAGTTGATGATGGTGAAGTGGAACCAAATATGGATATCAAAGCAGAACAGGAGAAAGACCAAGATTTGAAGCAAGTGTTTTGCATCCTGCTTGGGAGAAGGTGTCTAGTCGGGACGAACAATGCTAAGGAAGGGGTAGTGTTAAGACATCGAGGTCACGTGACTAGTATCACGCCACATCATTCTCGAAGTTTCACGTCTTTTTTTAAATCTCATGATCCTTCTAGATATAGTGTAGTCTTGTATATATAAGACCGGCCACGAAGCGACGGGAAGTTAATGAGTAATTGAACTGCAGTCAGAGAGTATTATTGAACTGAGTTGAGCACGTGAGACGTTCGTTGTTATAGCGCGACTGTTGAAATTAAGTGTATCGCAAAGTTATATTCAGAAAGAATAAACCAGTTTTATTTAAGAAAGGACTTGTGTCGCTAAAGTTTCGTCGGAATGAAGGTACAGAGAATTAACTAACGAACGGAGACGTAACAATATTTTAACATTTATCATTTTAACTTTTCTCAAGTACTTTTAAAAGTGTAAGTTGTTTAACCCTTTTACAGTAGGATAGTGTACAATACAGAACCCCCTTTGGGGAATGATACTTGTGCAACAATACATATGGTAATTCTTAGCTTTCTTAATGTGTCCTCACAAAAACTGGTAAGATTTTATTAAGAATTATAACTATCTTGTACACAAAGAATGACATTATTTTAACTAAGCCTTTCTATAAAAAATATGTTATTTATAAATTGTAGTTATTTGCACTCAATCTCTGAATAGTGTGAGTGCAAGTGATTTTCATTTTAAGTATAAAATACTTTTTCTCATTGTACAGTTTTGATTTTTATATGCATAACCACTAAAACCTCCTAAATGAATATCAAGTTTTTTTAAAGATAAATGTATATATATATATATTTTATTTTTCATATTCTCCATCATATCACTAACTGTTGATATCATCATTAACATATTTTGCAATAAAATGTTTAAAATTAAGAAACAGGAAGAAATAAGAAATTTTTCGTAGGGTATCTTTAAAGATTTTTTTTTACTATATTCATAATTTCATGTCTTTTTGATTTCATATATAGTTTAATTTTTAATGTTTTATTTTCCTTTCCCCTCCTTTACCATATATTATTCATTTTGACACAAATCAATGGGGCCCTCGGGGCATATTACAATATCTTTGGCAGTGATATGCAAGCCTTCAGCAAAATTTTCGTGCACTCACATAATATCGTACACCTCTGAGAACCCAAGGCAAACATTGAGATATATTTAGAAAATGTTTAAACCTTTCAATTATGCATCTCAAAACATATATAATTAACAAAAGTTTTAAAGTAGAACCTAAATACAGTTTAACTCTCTCTCTAACAATAACATACTTAGGTAATAAACAATTGTAAGTGCTATCATGAACAAAGTAGCCAACAACAGTACTGGCAGTTACATCTACCTAATTATGACAACTGTGCAGCAATTTCAAAGTAACCATTGTTAGCTTATAGTGTGGGTGTGGTACCTGAACTCAGCCATAGAACTTTGGAACATATGAGTAAATAGTGCAGTTTTTATTTAGACATATATCTACAGACACTGTAGTTGTGTGATTCAAGTTAGGTTTGAGTATTTATTAAAGGTTTCTTTTGAAATAAAGGATTTAAAATTTTTATAACATAAAACTTTGAATTTAACATACATATAATGTTAATTTCATTGCCATAAATTGATAGTAAAGTTGTTTAATTAAATTTTGAATGTATCTCAGTGACATGCACAGAAAATAGTTTAAAGGGGTACCTATGTCAAAGTATTAAGTAGTGAGCAAATTCTTTGATTATGTTATAGATTTTGGAAGAGATGAGATTAATAGATTATTTGATAATATTCATAGGATATTGAAATTAAGCCATTTTTTCTTTTAGATGAATACTAAGATTTTTTTAGGAATTTTCTTGAATTAGGAGCTTTGCTTACAGCATGCTCTATGTCAATTGTATTGCTTATTATTGGTGAAATGAAGACTAGATGCTATTTTAGAAAGTCTTAAGGTCTTATAGAAAATGTGTTGATTAAAGTGTGAAAGAAACAATTTTTTTCATTAAAGTGAAATAAAAGCTTATAAGAAGGTGTACCACCCAGGTTGGAAAAGATATGGTTTGGATTGTGGTTTGTGTAAGAAACGGAAAAAAGCCCATGTATATTAGTATTTTCTATAAAGTGACTGGTAAGATTGTTGACATTGATAGAATACGTTATGCTGCTAAAAAAAGTATATTATTATGGAAAACTTTAATTTTAGGAAATTAGTCAAGTTAGTATGTCTTCAATGAATGAAGTTGAATAATTTCTTAATGTTGTGGAGGGTTGTTTTCTTCTATTAAGGAAGAGCTATTTTAGTTGTTGTTCTTAATGCTTAAGAGGATATAGTTAGAAATTTTGTTGTACAAGAACACTAAAGCACTAGTTATCAAAACAACATTACTTCTGAAACCATGTTCTTGTTCTGGTTTTTATAAAAAACCAAAAAACATTTTGAGAAGAGATTGACTGGCTAAATGGGAATAATTTCAGTGAAGCTTGAGACAGTTTTCTAGTTCAATATGGTTAGTTGAAAATAAATGTTTTCCAACTAAATACTTATGTTCTACCTAGAGCTTTTTCACAATGGATAAAAAATTGCACCTTATTAAAATATGCAATTCATTTTTAAAATTGAGGATATGGAGGCTTATAGAAATAAATAAATAAATAAAAAGTATAAAAACTATCATTAATGCTAAGAGCAATTATGGAATTTGTTACTTGACTCAAAACTTTAATTTGATTTGAGGGGTTTTACACTTACATTAATTTTAATAACAGTCAAGAATAACAATGGTCCTCTAACATACTTTTAAAAGGGCATTTACTAATGAAGGTGAGGAAAAGGATCCTAAGAAAAGCAGATTTTTTTTAAATGAGGGAACATATTTTTTACTTATTTTATATTTATATTGGAGAAGTACTGTAGCTATTTTAGGAAGGCTTGAAAAACTTTTTGAGAATCAGATTCCTTGCCCTGTTAAAATTTACTTTAAAATCTTGAATAAACACCTGAGCTACTTTTGTAGATTAATCCTTCAAGACTTTCTCTACAAATATTATTCTAAACTAAACAACTGCTGCCCCTTTCACTTCTGTTTGTTCATCATGAATACTCTGCTTAACCCTTTGATGACACTTACTCTTTAAACTCCTTTCTGCTCGTCTTGAGGTTTTACTGAGTTACATTCAATATTTAGTTAAACAACTTTACTATCAATGTATTTAAAGAAATTAGCATTAATGCATATGATATAATTTAAAATTTTATATTATCTATGTTTATCTCCTTTATATCAAAAATAACCTATACAAAAATACTTAAACCAGTTTTATTGTCATATAATGCATGAGCATTCACAAATGTTAACTTGAATAATAGTACTCCTACACCTACATGTATGTCTAGACAGAAACTATATTTACTCCACTATTTAACCATCCTTCTTTCACATTCCTTCAGGTTGATTCAAATGAACAAAATAAATCAATTTTCCCACCCCTAGACAAGCCGCGCTCACCTTCCATACTTAGACTTGAGACTTACAAGCCACATTTACTTATTTGTTATATATGTTTATAAGAAACAGAAAGAGCTCATCTTAAAATTGTCACACAATATTCATTTGACAATTATTGTTGGTGTCTTTGTCCTTGCTAGCACTTAGTGATGTTTCTCACCTAGATACATATTAGATAGATAGACAGTTAAATTGTGTTTAGGTTTAACTTTTACATTTTAGTTAATTATGTATTACTTAGGTTTTAAAATACATATTTGAAACGTTAAATAATTGTTTTAATATAACCAAAACTTTGCATTGGTTCATCAGGCTGATAGTAGTATGTGAGTGCAAAAACATTTTGCCAAAGGCTTAGTATCTTTGCTAGAGATACTGCACTATGCCCTAGGGGGCACCTGCTGAAATGTATTGAGATGAATAATAAATAATAAAGGACAGGAACATAAAAAAAAAACATTAAAAAATAAATTATAAGTGAAAAGGTAAAGACACAAAACTATAAATATAGCCCAAAGAAGATATTCTAAAATTACTTGATGAAGAGTTAAAATGTATGTACATATTTCTATTTGTTACATTTACACATTTCATTGCACTGTATATTGATGTTAATAGCTACTTTTAATGATATGATAAAAAAATGAAAAATATAAACGTTTACTTTAAAAAACTTTTGATATTCATTTAGGAGATTCTAGAGGTTATGCAAATGAAATCTGAAAACTGTAAAATGAAAAAAGTATTTTTATAATTAACATGAAAATCACCTTGTAAGTGAACTATTCAGAGTCTGAGTGCAAATAACTAAATTAAATAAAAAATTTTTAGCAGAAAAAATCAAAATTAAATATTTTGTTGTTCTGAAACTAATGTCTTTAGGAAACTTCTTGTCAAGTTTCAAACAATTCCATCTACTAGTTTGATTTTTGGAATAAAATACGATGAGAGTTATGTTACAATCTTGCAATGTAAGAATGTAGTAGCCAATAGGTTAACATGTACATATATTTTAACATAATTTCAATAACATTAAAATAATATATTTGCTACATATGTCATAAATAATTTCAATCATGACTTTAACATTTGCACACTGAACTTCTAGAAAGTTTGTCCCATTTTTCAAATATGAACAGTAATTCGTCACATCTTAGTATCATTTTTGTCTGTCTTAGGGCATATAGCATGAACATTGTTTTCAGTAAAATGTTGCTTAGCATATTTCAATATACTATAAAAAAAACTTTGAGAAATTGATGAAAATCTTTACAGCTTTTAAATTATTAAAATAATGAGTTCAATTTTTATTTTATAAAAATCATTTAAGGTTAATAGGATCCAAAACTAAACATATCATAAAAAGTGTAATTCTTACCAAGTTTACTTGTGATAAACACATTTTCTCGCTTTAGTTCTCCTTGTCTAATTTTATCTTGAAGAACTTGGCCAATGTATTCCTCATTTTGATACACAGCAGCAGTGTCTAAATAACAACAACAACAAAATTACTGAATCAAATCCTTACACATAAAAAATTCTTAGCAGCTGGAAAAATAAACAAATGTTATGAAACACAGCAAATTATATTGTTACGGACCTAATTATTTACTAACTGTCTACTTTTATCAGTATATTTATGAATGTAAATACACTGTCTGTACCTATATATGCAACAAAACAGGTAATGATTCAACAAACTATCAATGACCAAGTTTTGTCATAGTTGATCTGTCATGTGATCTGAAAAGTGCGAACACTAAATATAGCTAAGGCTGAATACCCAGTTATTGGTATTTTCATGAAAATAAACTGAGAGAGATGGCTGACATTAATTTATATTAGTGGATTAGCCTTTACAAATCTAAGATGTTATAAATTCTAATTATCCTTTAATTGTTGTGGCTAGTATGCTTTAATACATAGCTTTAATCTTACTATGTCAGATGTAGTTTTCACCAGTTGTGCATCTGATATGAATACTAGGCTTTATGCAGTATCTCAGACAGTTGGATGTCAGATATACATAGAATTGTTGAATTAACATGAACAGACTTGCTAACAGTCATGATAATTTTTATGTGTATGTATGTATATACGTGCGTGTTGTCTGTTACGACAGTGCCGGTTGCACTGGAAAAGCCACATGCACCGTATGAAGGATGGACGAATCCCAAAAGACATCCTCTACGGAGAGCTTGCCAAAGGACAGAGAAGCATCGGCTGCCTGCAGCTAAGATACAAGGATATTTGCAAAAAGAGACATGAAGGTGCTCAACATCAACACCGAAACTTGGGAGGACCTCGCTGCCGATCGCGCCGACTGGAGAAACACTCTCCGTAAAGAGCTGAAGATCGGTGAAGAGGAATTGACGGTGGCAGCAGAAGAAAAGCGAGTGCATCAAAAGGAACAGGCAGCCAACAGACCAGCGTCAACGCACATATGTGACCTCTGCAACCGGGACTGTCACTCTCGTGTCGGTCTCCTTAGTCACAAGAGACGCTGCTCTAAACGAGTGATCAACATGAGCTAACAATGGATGGATGCTCATCCATGGTCAAACCTGGCCGAAGGAGGCCTACTATACTACTACCATGTATGTGTGTGTATATATATACATATTCATTTTCCTGATTTTTATGTATGGCTTATACAATGTCTGTGATATTATTTGGTGTATTATGATGAGATGTAACAAAAACACTACAAAAGAATGAATATATTATGCCTTTCCATACAGAATCTTATACAAAAAGCCATTTAAAAATATGTTTTCTCTTACCAAAAAGTCTGTAACCAGTACATAGTGCTTTTTCAATAAGTGGCTTGATAATTTCTGGTTCCTTTATTCTGTAAGTCCCATCTAGAAGAAACAAAACAGTGAGGAAATGCCTAGTTGAAGTTGCTGAAAGCATACATTTTAGACAAGGGAAATAATCAAAATTAGTAGTAGGCCTATTGTATTTTTTAACACTGCAGTTTTTATCTAGTTCCTTAAGGTTTTTCAAGAAATAAATGAGTGTACAATAACAGTATTTCAATCACACTATTTTATGCATGTAAAACCTTACAACATACCCCAAATCTTACTATTCAAACCTTCTGATCCACAGTCCAGCACACTAACCACTAAACCATACCCAGATCAAAATGTATAAACCTACATTGATACAACTTTCATTCACACTATGTTTACCAAATCTATTGCTGATTACCTGTTTCACTCAATCCAGAGCTCTTCAATTTGGCTGGGATATAACAAACACAGTATTGGTCAGAACACTATTTACATACGCTATTTGTTACAATAAGACATTAGTATTGGGCCTACACTAGGAAAATCTTTATGGTAAGCCTAAAGGGCAAGAGTTTATAGAATGGGAATTTTGTTTATAACTGCTAGAGAAATATCTATTTTTGATCTTACATAAACCTAAGATCACTAAACAACCATTAAACTTTGACATGTTGTTGTTTAAAACTCATGTTGTATAAGTACTTATGTTTAAATAAGTTACATACATTGACATTCAAACTGTTACATTTTTTATTTTATTGCTATTTGCAGATATTTTACCAGAACCTTTGTTCAGCAAATGTAAAAGAACAGTAAGATGTCTGAACGCTTGCAATAAAGAATAAAATTTAGCATAGTGAACGTCTATGTTAGCTTTCACAATGATGACTCTTATAAAAGAGCTGAAACTTGCAATAAAAACAAATTTAACTTAGTGGATGGCGATGTAATATATTATTCAAAACTTGGAATAATTTGTTCCACATCCTTTAAAATCAAGCAGTACACCTTAGCCAAATCATTACTGCCTACATTACTTTGGAGTAGGTGAGATGAAATGCATACACCCTTAATAATTTATTTATATTCTATTTAAAAATACATGATACTTAATTGCATTTAAACTTGTAAATGTTTTCTTCAAGTGAAAATATTTAATGCTATATACCAAAGATATTTTTTCTGATATGTTACTGTTGTCTATAATTTATCATAAAGAAGATTATTGAGTGTTGTACTTTGAACTAAAATATTTTATGGAACATGTGGGACAAACAGCTAGGTTTAAATTTAGTTACTCCCAATTTTGAATAACTAGAACAACCAGTGAGCAGCAGCTGCTACCTACAATAATGACATAGCTCTCACTCTTATAATTCACCCACAGTGTAGGACCAGGTTCGGCAGCATATCATAGTGCAAACCTTCTGATCCACAGTCCAGCACATTAACCCAGACCCAGATCAAAATGTATAAACCTACATTGAAACAACCTTTTAGGAAGCTATACATTAAATAGATATATGGAACACCTCGGCCAACAAAGAAAATACTCAAAATATCAGACACAATTCACTCAGGTATTATAATTATTATAGAGTCATGTAATGAAACAACAGACCTTTTTTAACAATTTATAAAAAATAAAATTCATAATTGAAAACAAAATTGACAATTGCATATCAGCAAAAAGTTTTAAGACTTTTACAATTCACTCAATTTTGGTTGTTGCCTGTATCAACTTTGTATCAAACAGCTAAAATAAGTACTACTTTAGTATCTGAATACTAAAATTGTTAATCATATCATTTATTTGATTTGGAAAGTAGAAAGAACAAGTTTTGATGACATTTCAATATTTTTCCTAATTGACAAACTTAAGCCCAAATAACTTTATGAAATATACCATAAACAAATAAAATGAATAACATAGAGGCTTCCAAGCTGTCTTTAACATAAATGTTTACATGAAATTGTACCTGAATTATCAATTTGATATAGCAACTTGAAAATTATGACATAAATACATACATATATATAATTAATATAATTTTGCTGTGCTAATAATCAAATTTCATGTGTCATAAAATATTTTTGTTATCTAAAGGTAAGCTTTGGGTAATTTCATATATATAATATAAAAATGCCAGGATATCTGCCATATCTGAAAGGTGGGTTACTATGTTGTTAAAATTCATGAGTTTTGATCACTGTTTTCCTCAGACCATGTTCTGTGCATACAATAGTGTTTGGCCTTACTCTAGGAAATAATTCATAATGTGTCATATGATATTATCATAAGTCATGGAAATTTCTATTACTTTCTATCTTATTTTACATATATTTTTGTAAATACATTTTTTTAAGTACTCACCTTTTGATTTCTCTATGTATTATATATTACTTGTTTATATTAACTCAGGATCTATACATTTTATCATGTTTTCAAGATATATTATTATTATATGGATTCGTTGTTACAAAACCTTTTGAAACACTGAAATCAGAATTTTCAACTTGAACAGCATTTTACGTACAACTGGGCTAAAAGACCAGGTTATCCTTACTTTTTTGGGAATATCAACATCCAAAATAGTACATATGTTAAACTAAAAATGCACATCACATATATACCATTATATATGTTAATAAATACCAACATGTAATCTTAAGTATTGTGTACCACATCAATGCACTAGTTTTTAGTACTGACACTACATATTGACACAAGCTTCAGTGCAAGTTACAAAAGGCTGAAAGCTTAAAAACCATTTATGTTTTACTTCCATTCATTCATCTATTTTATGTTGATTTTATATTTGTTTAGTTTTGTGTGAAGATTTATAACTATATACTTAGTTCTTCAAATGTGTATATGTATAAGCACCTGATTTTAATCTTTCTATTTACTGTTGAAAAGTTGTAAATATTTCCAAAAATTAACTTTTTTGGCACATTGTAATGGACTAAACAAATTACCGCAACAACCAAGGTTAAACAAAAGCAATTTATCAAATATAGGAACAGAAATAAATAAAAGCACTTTCAAACAAATAGGATACAAATTTTACCACTTACAAAAAAAATTAGTAAACTTGTGCCTGGCCAGGACTAGATACAAATACAAGATAAATCTCAGTGTGATTAATTTCAATAAATAACAAAGAAATTAGGAAAAAGAACCAGAAAAATAAAAAACCTAATTCACCAGAGAATAACAGAATGTTCCAAAATTGAACCACTTTTCAATATTGAGGACAATATCAATCAATAATACTTTCTAACTACATATCTTGAACATATTCATTTTCAAGGTCAAGGAAGGCTTTTTATTTAGTTATTAAACCTTGAGGTGATATCTCATGTGATTATCTATTACCATAAATCTATATAATATTTCATAACATTAATATCTGTATGTCACCATCAGGTGAAGCCGGTGTCAGTTTCATAATACATACATACTCAAAACTAGTGTGCTCTAGATAGAAGGTGAGTTAGAACTATAATATAACTAAAAATTCATAGTTGAACTAAATGATTGAGAGAATAACAGATGTTTGGTAACAGAACAATAACAAAATAAAATAAAAATTCTATCTCACACTCCTTTCCCCTTAGAGAAATGAAGGATGGAACAGCTGAGATGAACCAACAGGTCCCTTGTTGTCCCTAAACATTAGGTAATGTTATTAATCACTTTGTACAAAGTATTCCAATTTTTGTTTCATTACTTTTATTTCCCTATTTATACTGACACCAGGAATTCTTGACAGTTTAAGTACACATGCCTTACAAGGAAAAACAAGAATTCATGTTCTGGAATCTTACGCTCTAACATGAATTACCAGAAGATTATTAAGGGGTCATAGACCAGCTAAACTGCAGTAATCAACCCTGCAACTTGGCCATAATGTCCTTTGAGTATGTTGAGCAGAAAGTATAGGTAAGTCATTAGCAGGATCCATTGAAGAATGAGAAATGGTCATAACAGCAGAAGTCTTTTGTCTTGTGGGTGGAAGACTTCCAAGTCTTCTGTAATCTACATTCCTATTTTGCTGCAACTGTATAGAATGATATCCATCTTTTTCAGTGTCGAGAGAATTTTCACTAGCGAAATATATGTATCTCTTTATATTAAAAACATGAAATCGTTTTATAGTCCCACCTGATATAGGATCTTTTAATTGATACACTAATGAACTTAACCTTTTAGTAATTCAGAAGGTCCATTCCACTTATGAGCAAATTTTGCAGTGAAATTATTTATTGCAGAAGATATCAGATGTATCCTTAATAATATTAAGTCACCTACTTTAAAAGTATCTGGGCACCTCTTACGATTGTATGCTTGCCACTGTCACTTCTGAGTTTAGGGTGACAGTGGCAAGTGTGAGATAGCAAATTCTACTTTATTTTGCCATGGTTTTATTTACTGTTTATTATTCCTTCTTTCATTTAGTTCAACTATGAATGTTTAGTTACATTACAGTGCTAACTCACCTTCTATCTAGAGCACATTGATTTTGAATATGTATATATCATATAACTATCACTAGCTTCCTCTAGTGGTGACATACAGATATTGATGTTGTGAAAGATTATGTAGATTTATATTACTAACTAGTCACATGAAATGTTACTTCGTGGTCTAACCATTAAATAAAAAGCCTTCCTTGATCTTGAAAACAGGTACATTCACAAAGTAGGGTTGGAATTATTACTAATTAGTGCTCAATATTGACACGTGGTTTAATTTTGAAACACTGCAATATTCTCATGTGAATTAGTTCTTTTTCTTTTTCTAGTTGTTTTTCCTAATTTCAGATATTTATGAAAATTAATCACACTGAGATTTATGTTTGTACCTAATCCTGGCCAGGAAAGGGTTTACTAATTGTTTTTTATAAGTGATAAAATTTATATTCTAGTTGCTTTAAAGTTTTTAATTTTTGTTGTTATATTTAATAAACTGATTTTGTTTGATTCTGGTTGTAGCGATGTTTTGTTTAGTCCATTACAACATTATAATATGTTTTTTTTTTAAAGTTATGATTCATTTTCAA